TATTTCATATTGCATAGAAAATAATCCGTGATAGTTGCGTCAAACTGCGTGGTTATTATTCGCGGTAACACTGGCTGTGGCAAAACTACGCAAATCGCGCAATACATATTAGAAGATTATATACAGTCTGGTCAAGGGGCCTTTTGTGATATTTACGTTACTCAACCTAGACGTATATCAGCTATTTCGGTAGCTGAACGTGTAGCCAATGAATGTTGCGAGAATCTTGGCGAATCTGTCGGTTATTCAGTGCGCTTTGAAACTGTTTTGCCGCGTCCGTATGGCGCTATACTTTTTTGTACTGTGGGTGTTTTATTGCGTAAATTAGAGATGGGCTTACGTGGTATTTCTCATATTATAGTCGACGAAATCCACGAACGGGATGTTAACAGTGATTTCCTTTTGATTATTTTACGAGATATGATTCACACTTATCCAGATTTGCGGATCATTCTTATGTCAGCAATCATAAATACGACATTATTTTCCCAATATTTCGGTCAAGCTCCTGTTCTTGAATTACCGGGACGTGCATTTCCAGTTCAGCAGTATTTTTTGGAAGACTGTTTGGAAATGACGAAATTCGTCCCTACATTGGAGTCTCGTAAAAAGAACAAAGATCGAGATGACGAAGAGAACGCAGTGATTAAAGAGAACGGTGAGGATGGCGGTGAACAGAATTTAAACAAAGTTTGTGCCGATCCGTATTCGCAACAGACGAAGAATGCCATGGCCCTTCTTTCTGAATCGGAATGTTCTTTTGAATTAATTGAAGCCTTGTTAATTCATATAAAATCGAAGAATATACCTGGAGCTATATTGGTTTTCTTGCCCGGCTGGAATCTAATATTTGCTTTAATAAAATATTTACAAAACTCCCAGTTCGGTAGCCCACAATATAGAATTTTGCCATGCCATTCGCAAATTCCGAGAGAAGATCAACGTAGAGTGTTTGAACCAGTTCCAAATGGCGTTACTAAGGTTAGCAAAACAATGAAAACAATAAGCAATTTCTCTATTTTCTGTATACCATTTTAGATTATTCTTTCCACCAATATCGCTGAAACTTCGATCACAATAGATATCGTGATATCGTATTTGTTGTGGATCTTTGTAAAGCTCGCATGAAAATGTTTACTTCTCATAATAATTTAACGAGTTATGCTACAGTTTGGGCCAGTAAAACTAATTTAGAGCAACGGAAAGGTCGGGCTGGTCGCGTTAGACCTGGTTTCTGTTTTACTCTTTGCTCTAAAGCGCGTTTCCAGGCTTTGGAAAATCATTTAACGCCGGAAATGTTTCGTACGCCTTTGCATGAAATGGCTTTAACTATTAAATTATTAAAACTCGGTTCTATACATCAATTCTTGTCGAAAGCATTAGAACCACCACCTCTGGATGCCGTTATTGAAGCCGAGGTATTGCTGCGCGATATGCGTTGCCTGGATGCCAACGATGAACTCACACACTTGGGTCGAATTTTAGCGCGTTTACCAATTGAACCGAGACTTGGTAAAATGATGATATTGAGTACTGTTTTTGGTTGTGGTGATGGTGTCGCTAGCATGGCGGCGTATTCTAGTACTTTCTCTGAAGTATTTGCTTTAGATTTGGGTCAGAGACGTTTGCAAAATCATCAAAAAGTTTTAAGCGGTACAAAATGTTCGGATCACGTGGCCATGATTGTCGCCACTCAAATGTGGGAGAATGCTCGTCGAAAAAGCGAAGATGAAGAGATACGGTCTTGTGAATGGAAAGGATTGCAATTATCTACTATGCGCGTAATGGCAGAGTCCAAAAATCAATTAATAGATCTTCTCCAACACGCAGGTTTCCCGGAAGAATCAATGATAACTGAGAGCATATTTGGCGAAAAAATACGTACTAGAGCGGTATCTTGCAAACAAATGACTATGGTTACCCCATTACATTTGATGCTTTTTGGTTGCCGTAAAATTGATTTGGTTAGGAAGAATGTAATACGTCTGGATAATTGGTTAAACTTTGAAATTGAACCGCAGCTTGCTGCTATGATAGCTGCGTTGAAGATTGCTATCGAAGATTTAGTAACAATAGCTTGCACAGAGCCATCCGAGGTATTAAAGTTGGAGGAAAAGCAAGCGAAATTAGTCAAAACTATAAAGGATTTGTGCATAAGAAATGCTGGCGATTATCAAATTGAGCGTGAGAAAGGAGTTATGCCTTTCCAAAGTTCCTCGAGCGGACCGCCTTATAAGCGGGGTCGGCTCGAAAATGATTTCCCCGGTGGTAGCAGTTTGGTGGCTATAGGAGCGGTAGTGGACGATACGGAAGTGGTGCCTATAGAGGAAGCGGCAGTGGTTATGGAAGTGGTGGCTACGGTGAAGTTAATCGCTTTGACGCTCGCGGCAGAAATTATGGTCGTAGCAGCCATTGGGGCGATGGAGCCGGTCGCAGATTTTAAATTCGTAATTCAATATATTTCATATCCAGCACCGGAAAATGGTTATAATACTATTTACCTATTTCTTTTAACATCCAGGAATGCGTGTCGACTTGTGATGGTTTTACGAATTCGTCATTGTCACACGCGTTTCAGTTGATTTAATTACTCACGTCTGTCCGCAATGAAGGATTCTTCAGACTGCAACGCTTAATTTAGAGATGTAGCCTTAACTTGCTTGCTTGCGCTAAATTTCCATGGATTACATTTTCCAATTAGCGATGTATCTCTGCTTATGTCGACGAGTCAAAAAACAGTAAATAAAGTTTTCTTATATGTCAGATACAAAATGTGCTTATGAAATTGTTTTTAAAATAAATGCAGTGCAGCCAGTCATTACTGCATGCAATAATATTCAATAAATAATTAATTCTTTAAAGAAAGAATGTGTAGAATATTCCGCTTGCCCAGAAATAAATGTGGTTTTTTTTTTGTTCCTTTATTTATGAAAATTTTATTAATTACGAAAATATTATGTAAAGAAAATATGAAGAATTTTCTCGATTTTTAAGAGCAAACGGCAAACGATTTTAATGATCTTCGTAAAATGCCAGACCCACGGCCAAGAGTATCGCTGAAAAGATGCCCGCGTACATGAACAGCAATTTCCAGTTGATCTCTCGTTTTTCTTTTAGTTCAACTGATTTGCGTTCTTTATGTTTGCGTTTATTAAATCGTTTCTCAAATTGCTCCACTTCTAATCGATTACGTTCTTCTTCTTGTTTACGCAATGATTCCTCTGCCATATGACGAGACATTTCCGACTTCTTGATGATTTCCAGACAATTCGCATCACACTTCAATTTAGTGAGCCCTGAGCGATGTTTATCGCAGGAAATCTCTTGTTTTAAACGTTTGCACTCACAGTAAATGCGTAATCTTTTGCGACAATTATTAGTTTCCTGGCAAGGCCCTGCGTGGCATTGTGCCGCGCACCGATGGCCACAGGAATACTGTACAAATGAAATATAATGCAATACAATATAATGTAAGTTCTTGTTTAGTTCGATGCAGACTTACATTTTTTAAGCAGCGATTACCGCAACTTTTTAAACGTTCCTGCCGCTCAGCGATATCAGTTACAGCGCCTTGATTGTTATAATAATCACAGCATTTATAAATAATTTGCATCAGACCACAATGACATTTTGTTTTAATGGCTACATTGCAGGGATTACAAGGTGGCAAATGACACGGTCGAGGACAATTATGGATGCAATCATTAGGTCGCGATATATTACAACCGTTTTCGCAGGACATACAACCTTGTTGAGCCTAGGAGAAAAACACAGACCACAGATTCATTTAAGGAATCATTAGACAAAGAAAGAAAGAGAGAAAGAAAATTTCACCTGCATATTATCGGGATGGGATACAGAATGACAGATCAATGTGCATTTATGATTTCCGCAGGGCAGCTGACGATTACATAAACGCTGACAAGAGTTCGGATTTGAGTTCCAGCACGGTGGTTCTTTTACTTCATGACCTCCTATACAAGCAACTAATACTTTCTCTTCGCAACGAGGATGAGGTAGTGATTTATATTCGATCTAAATGCGGAGAGTAAACAATTATCTCTAAGAAATGGAATGATGGTTAATAAAGCGAATCTCTTTTAGATAGATAGACAGGAGAGTATTAAAAATATATTGAGTTGACATGTATGCTACTTTGTATTATTATTTGACAGTATTCGATGATGGTAAAATAGTGTCAGACTGAATTACGCTTCGATGATAAACTGTGCGAAAGAAGAAAAACTAGGAACCATCAGTGCCTTTGTACCTATTTAAAAGTTGTTGAAATGGACCCAACTCTCGCACTCATCCGAGTTTGCTCTTCAATTGCGCCAGACAATATCTCAAACTAAGGGAAATCCTTAAATGAAATTATTCCCAAATTATTTGGAAGAAAATAAATAGTCCCTTTGATAACTTATTTTGGACGAAATTCGCAATATTAACCTTTACGTCTAATATGTAGAATTTACCCTTTTGCTGGCCTCCCAAATATGGCCAGTCTCCGAGTTTGATTTACTCGATACCTTCACATAGCTATGGCATTTGGCCTTGCAGATATGACCACAACCTGTAGTATTATTTGGTAACCCACAAATTTGCGAACAAGATGGACACTCATTTTTATGGCAACGGTGCTGATTTACGTGATGACATTTCGACGGTTTTTGCTTTTCGTTGCACAGAATATTTTAAATATTAACTCACTTGCAAAGCTCTAAGCATGCTATGCGCACGGTACGTTCCCTTCCGCACGGTACACTTTTACGCGTCTTTCCCCAACGGCAATTGACTTGAGATTGTTGTCCACAGGGATAACAAGGACCTCTATGACAGACCGATTGGCATTTATGTTTACCGCAGGATAATGGTTGGCCGCACAATTTAGTACAGGGTGGACAATTACGATCGCAACACTTTAATGAAAATAAATAAAATTTTCATTTTCAAGGGCATAATGTTCGCATTTTGCATACCTTGCGGTTGCAAGAATGTATGCCGCAATCTCTGCTTTGTTTGCATTTGGTTTCACAAGTAAATTCCTTTGAACACGGCAGCTCCTTTTCATGTAAACCACATCGACATTTTTTCTTAGTAATAACTAGACACTTAACAGAATAAAAATTAGGAAAATTCTCACAAAACATTTTTGCTAGAAAAACCTTACCAAATTCCTATTGCCCGTGTGACACCTTTGGGTGCAAGTGTGTTGACCGCAAGCAAGAATTTTTTGGCAAGTGTCCCCGCAAGTATCAATAATTTCTGTGCAAGGTCCAACTTTTTTCTAAGTTGTATTCAGTATTAAATAGAATTCATCTTATTTTTCTTTTTAAATACTTACAATTTTGCCACAAGGACAAGAACGCGGCAAACTGAGTGGACATTCACCACAGTCCCCAGAATGACAAACTTTCTTACACAGGTGTATACCGCACGCATACAATTTGCTACACATTTATTTAAAACTTATGAAATTTTGTAATTTCCATAAAATATCGAATGCACTGACCTGTTGACATTGCCACTTCCGTTCGCAGCATTGGCGTCTCATCGATTCTGCTCCGCATTCACAAGCTTGAATACTTTTTTGACTACAAGGTGGACACTGCTGTGGTTTATGGCAAGGTTGACGGCACTTGTGTCGGCCGCAGGGCAACAATGAATTGCACTAAAATTTAATATAATAATAGAACATTGGTTCCGAAATCGTAACAAACATGTCAGACCTTTTCTTGACATTCCCAATCTTTTTCTAAGGAGCGCATCGACTTTGGCTGAGATTTTCCGCATTTGCAGGATGTTATTGCATATTGAGCGCACGGTGGACATGGTCCTGAATGGCAGAGTATATTGCATTTATGACTGCAATTAGGCTGTAAAAGTTTACCGCCTATTTCGCCACAAGAATGGGGTAATAACCATGGCTGTGGTAAGGGATCAGTTTCTCTACCGCAAAAGCACTCGTATGTTGCAGGCTTTTCGTTTGGTTGAAATTCTCGCCTACATTGTGGGCAGCACCAATGTAAAGCTTTCTCTTTTTTGGGAGATACATATTCACCCAAGCGATTGTAACAGCCTTGAATGTTGCGTTCCTGTGCTTTACGCTGAGCCATGCTATCATTAGCCCAACGACGTATACAATTTAAGTGAAAAAACCAATAACAATGTTTACACGACCATATCGCGTCCGTTCTCTTTACACTAGCTATACATATAAGGCAAGTAGCTGAACCGGAATGCAATATGTTTTCTAAGAAACTCGCAGTCTTGGCTAATAAGTGCTCGTCTTCTTTACGATCACTATAATTCTTATATAGCGCTTCTATTAAGATTTTAGTATTGATTAAACACTTTTCTTCTTGAGACCAAGTTATTCTACTTACTTAAGATTTTCGTTTCATCCAATTCATCTTCCTCTTCAGATGGGGAAATGTATTTATCCGCCAATTTTTTAGCAGCTTCTAAATTCTTAGCATGTGCTTCATAAAACTTTCGACTAGTGTTCTTATCATTTGACTTATTCCCGGCGATAGGAAATTATTTATTACTACATAAGCGTGAATTCGAAGCCAATGCATCATCTTGAGTCGTAACTGTAGGTATATTGTGCACGTTGTTAACCGCTTCTGCGGACAACATAGAGGACGCCATATCCTCCATATCCTCTACTACTCTAAAGGAAAAATTTTTTTACTACGACGCTGATTAAAATTTACTGCAATAAATTCCGTTTGTTATTTCTCTAATGGTGAACTTTTTCTATACTACATCCATCATCATCCCGCTTTTAAAGGGTGTGAAGTTATATTTAAATATAACTAGCAAAGACACAAACTA